GTACCAAGGTTATTAAAAGACATTGATATTTAAAAAGATGAAAAGAAAAATCCTATATGCTGGAATTACAGCTATTGGCCTATTGTTTATCACATATGGATGAAGCGGCATGGAAGGAAGTTTCACCAGAAAAAGTTGTTTGTATATGAAATATTTATAAACATAACTAGTGGAATTTAATTTATAAAATATTACCAAGGTATTATAAGATCAAAATGCATGTGAAACACAATAATGTAAAATAAAAAAAAATTTAAATATAATCTAGAGGTTATACAAAACATCGCAAAAGAAAATTGTACTGCGATTTTTTTTTAATAACATCCACATGAAACACCATTCATACTTTAATATGTTATAACTTTATGAAAATTGATATGAGGATAATTATCATTAGAACACACCGCTTATACATCTCAACCTCTAAACTCAACAAGTCACTTTAAGAAGAAAAGAAAAATAATAAAAAATAAAAAATTTCCACCAAGCAAGAAAAACAAGGGAAAAAGGAGAACTAAAAGAGTACCTTAAATAATTTAGATAGTAAAGTGATTCAAGAGAATATCAGTACACACGGAAAAAGATGTCATTATATATATTTTTGTGAACCAACACGATGACTATTAGGACTACACATGCTTTATTTTCTTCAATTATTGTCGAACATGAACTCAAATGCAAGCATAATAGTTTATCCATACACGGAAAGAGGAGAGACCAAGCGAGAACATAAGAAGAAAAAAGAAAGAAGATGGACAAATAAAAAGAGCATTATTGAGTAACAGCAAATGAAGATGAAAAGTTCATCACTTTCTCACTTGATTAATGATTGTCAATTTACAAATGAATGAGTGTTAATGAAATGGTATAATAATAACATTATTAATTAACGACATCTCTAAAGAGGAAGATAAAAAATTTTAAATAGGGAGAAGGAGAAATAGTTAGACATACATTTCAACTTCATAATTGAATTTTAGCAACGTAAGAAATAGAAAAGAAATAAACCTTCAAAAACACACATTTTAAGTACTATCAAATTTCAAACTAAAATTTTCTAAAAGCTATTTAATTAATATTATGTTTGATAATAAAAGATAAAATATTTACTTTTGGAGGTTTACAAACATTGAAATTTCATATTCTTGTGTTAATTAGAGTGAATTTTTTTTGAACATACATCCAAAAGAGTTAGATGACTAATGACTATTTATTTGATACATTGTTTTACCTTAAATAGGAATGCATGTGAGAAACAAAATCAAAAGACTAAAATTGATGATGAAAATAGGAATGCATGTGATAAACAAAAAAAAAAAAGGAAAAAGAGTAAGGAAAAAATAATAGGAATGCATGTGAGAAACAAAATCAAAAGACTAAAATTGATGGGGAAAAGGACTAATGAAAAGTTAAAAAAATCAAAAGACTAAAATTAATGACTGCGGATATCAAAAGATTAAATTTAAAGAGAAAAAAAATATATTTTTTAATTATTTTAATTTAAATAATAGCCACATGTGTGATGGAATCGCTACCAAACTTCACATGTGTGAAGTGTCCAAATTCCCTATTTCTAAACCAATGAATTTTTCATCCTCATAAAAATCATGTCAAACTCTAATGAACTGTCAAGAGCATAGATACAAAGAACCAAGCATAAAAATTAGAACTGAAGTTCAATTCATAGAATTGTGAAATAAAACGCACACACAAAAGGCAAAAAATAAGATAATAAAAAAATCACCTTTGATCTCTTGATTGAGATTCATCACTTGAATATTGGGTATCCTCCTAGAAGATTTGGAAAAATTTCCTCTCTTCTTCTTCTTCTTCTTCTTCTTATTTATTGGTAGTTTAGGGGTATTTATTGGTGAATTAAGGATACTGAACTTTTCTTATTTTCATTTCTTTTCAGTTTCGGAAACAAAAACAACACTGATGAATTAATTTTGAATGGCTATAATTAATTCATTAAATTAAAAATTTAATTCATAGATTAATAAATTGTCAAAATTACCCTCTTAGTATACTACCAAAACCTTGTCAAAACTCACTATATATATATATATATATATATATATATATATATACATACATATATATTGGGAAAATCTAGAGTCACGTTGGCTAATTTTACGGAACCGTACCGTTTTATCTTCAACCAATCAATATTGAGGATATAAGACGTAATCATGGGATGAGATACATTCTACAATTTCTCAAACTAATTACTTTTTTGGTATCATGGTCTTTTATATTAAGCCAAATGCACATTTTGATCTTATAAATTAATATTTGGCTAAAATAGTCCTTTATATTTTTATTTGTAACTTTTTTTGTTCTTTGGTACTATTCCAAGAGTTTGACTTTGACCATCTTTATTCCAAGAGACCATCTTTATATTTAAGTCAAGGTATTTTCGAAATAAAAAGATATTTATTTTTCAAAAAAAATAATATTGAATAAAACATTAATAAAAATATTAAAATAATTATATTCATAAAAATAATTAAGAATTAAAATAAATATTAAATTAATAAAAAGTTAAAAAGTTTAATTTTTGAAACTCAAATGAAAATTTTTTAAAAAATAAATGTACCTTCGTTGCACAAATTTTGATATAATTTTTAATTCGGTGCATTTAGAATAAAGTAAAAATATTACTGTTACGACAAGTTATGATAAAATGAATAATTAAGTTAAAATTTAAGATTATATTCTAATCTAATTTCTTATTTTGGATATGTTTTAATTTATGAAATTATTGTGAGTTATATTTACCTATTAGTAGAATCTAACAAAAAATTGTAGAATCTACAAAATATAGGATGAAATAGAATGAAAATTCTACAGTGATGGGCTAGAGTTTAAAAAGTACGTCAAAATTTTTTTTAAAAAATTAAATTTTGATTTTTTAAAAATAATTTTTTTATTAATATTATATTATTTTATAGTTGTGATTTAAATTTTTAATTAATTTAGTATTATTTTATTTAATATTAATTTGTTAGAAAATAAATATTTTCATTGTAATTGATAAAATATAGGATGAAAATTTTACAGTGATGGACTTGGGTAAAATAAAGAAAGTAAAAGTTTTTAAAAAAATTAAATTTAAATTTTTTAAAAATAATTTTTTATTAATTTTATTTTATTTTATTGATTTTAAAAATTTTATGGGTATATTTTAGAACAACTAAAATCATTGGGGGTAAAGATGCCAAAATTATGGGGTCCGCAAAAACTTTTTCTAATAAAAAAAACTGTACAAAGTAACGAAATGTTAGCATAGGTATTAAATCTAACTAAATTTTGGTCAATTGGCCAGAAATTGAATCTTAGATTATATATTTGGCTTCCCAAAAATCTTTAGGGTCAAAATTGACCAAACACTTGAAGTTTTGGGTAAAATTGACCATTTTCTTAAATTTTTTCTGGTTAATAATGTGAATTTAGGTGTATTTAGTTATGATGCACCATCATTTTAATCTTACGGTTATTAATTAGTCTAATTAATCCTACAGTTATTATCATAAAAAACGGAACATGGGACTCTAGCCACTCCCTATATATATATAGAAGAATAAAATGGAGATTACCAGTAAAATTCTAAATTTTTGTAGACAAGTAGTGGTGATGGTGTTAGATACAAGAGGCAGCTTGGTGTAATTGATTAGCGGAGTTGGAATAGTTCTCAGTTATGTATTTACTCAGTTTTACAATGGAATGAAATTTACACTTTACTTTTTTTTTTTTGTTAAAAATATGTTTGATTCTGAATGGTTATTGATGAAGAGATGTGATTTTGTTCGAACAATTTCTAACATTCAGGATAAAACTTTCTCTTTTTTCTCCATATTTGCCCCTTATCAAGTCAATCTTCTTATCTTTCGCCCACCATATCTGTATCTTATTTCATTTATAAAGAATTTTTATCTCTCTCCCCTTTGCCGACTCCATACATTACTTTATGTCGGTAGGATTTACTGTAGAGTACCTTTTGAAGTATACTACGTTGTTCAAATAATATATCATAATTTAATTTAAAAATCTATACTATAATATAATTTTGTTTTAAAACCCAACCCCAAAGTAATAAAGAGAATGGTATTACATGACTCAATAATATTAATCCTTTCAACAACTACTAATATTATTTTTTAAAAAAATTATTCCATAATATTAACACTACAAAATTTAAACTAAAAAAATTTCAATTAGACTAGAATCTAGTATTTTAAAGTGCAATTGAAAAACATAAATGAACCATTTTTGTTGAGAGAAAAAAAATTCCACTTCACAAAATGAAAAGGTCATGTAAATAATTTTTTTTTAAAAAAGAAAATGTAATTAATTAAAAATAAATAAAATATCAATGTAAATATATGTTTTAATAAATAAGCAAAGGGCGCCAACGAAATGGGAAAAAATGCAAGTAAAAACGTGTAGAAAAGTAAAAGGAAAAAAGAAGTTGACCAAAGTTTAATTGATTTGAGCAACAAATAAAATTTCTCCCAATCTTAGGGACTAAATTGTTATATTTAATATAATATTCTATTAATTTACTAACAAAAAATGCTGAATAAATTAATGTTAGCAAAGACTAGCTATTAGCTTTTTATAATGACTTAGATGTGAATTATGCCAAACTTTAATAGTCAAGAGTGATTTTCTTTTTTTCTTTTTTTTTGAATTTTGACCTTATTTTATATACAAGTCTAATTTCTACTACTATTTTTTTTTCAACTATAATCTTAATATACGTAGTAAACATCAGGGTAGAAAGCAAGGTAAGAACAAAATAATCCCCAAAACTTTCCCATGACAATGTAAATCAATACTATAGATCTACCCGCCAAAAAGTTAGTCAAGAGAGAAAAACCGCAAGTCTTTTGTGACAACATAATTAATCAGTTTGGATTTTCATTTTTAGTTCAAATTGTATTGAAAATAAAAATTCAAACTGAATAATCATTTTGAGACCAAATGAGTATATGAGTACTTTATCTATCTCCACCTACCTTTAGACACTGCACGTTGTTCGTCCTAGACGATGATATTTAGCCAGAACCAAATGCTTGCGAGTAGGTTAAGACATGTTTTCTCAAAATATGCAAGTCATTCTAAAAGCCACGAACGACTACTTCAATTGACGCTCAGGAAACAGGGCAAATAGCCGAATACAACAAACATGTTTTAGAACTGCAAACCACTCGGAGGCCTAACTATTTATACACATGAACTCTAACAAAAGGCTATACACATGAACCACTAATCTTGTCAAGGGTAGAATCTAACCTCCAACTTTATAAGTAAAGACAATATCGCAAATTGACAAGTCATTATTTATCTCCACTAACTTAACTTTGAACTTTGCTATTGTCACTATCCCTCTCAACCTGCATTTCATTATCATCTTCAGCCTACAAAAAGAAATAAGATCAAATTAAAAGCTAAAACAAGATACTAAATCTAAATACAATTAAGGACAATGAAAGATTGCCATTTGTAAATGAAAATCTGTTGAAGATAATGCAACAAGGTCACTACTTGGACTAATCTCTCTGTCTCTATTACTTAGCAATAAATTCCTTCAGAAATTAGATTGAATCCAAACACCCGAACACAGCTACGGAAATCAGTAAATTAAGAGTTCTGACAAATTTTTGAATAGTCTGAAGTATCAGGCATCCTCATTTCTATAATATCAACTATCAGCAAAAATTTAAACAAAAAACTCTGTTAGACACCGGACACCGGGTGACTTCGGACAGCAAGCTGAGGAATGTGTTTTACATTAACTGGTAGCAACAAGGAAAGACAAAGGAAAGAGAACAACAATGTTCAAAAGCATCTCTCCCACATGTTGATAGAGGGCACAAGTTTCTACATAGTTGGTCGGCAGACAGCCTTTTGCATAGAGAATATGTAGAATAGATAAGACACAAAATCCAAAGGTTCACAGAATTCAAAGGAGTAATGATGGTCAAAGTCCTCAGTGGACTAAAGGCTTCTTCCAGGCACACTTGACCCAGAGCCTAACCATTGGCACTCAAATAAAAACTAAAGGCTTCCTGAATCAATGGGGCAAGAAAAATGCATGGTTGATTATCCTACATGAAAGTGAATAGACATCAGTCAGCAAAATCAATTAAGGTGACTCCATGGAAGCACTTTTTCTGTCTCACAGTGGACTAAAGGCTTCTTCTAGGCACACTTGACCCAGGTTGAAACATACATGCCAATGGACATTATACAAACCTCAAACCAAATTAGTACCTGCTGCCAATTTCATATAGGTGAATTAGGATCCAAACTATAAATTAGTAAAACTAAAAAGTTCTGGCTCTTAGCGGATTTCCTCACCAAAGGCAAAATCTAACAGGAAAATGTCCTACTTCATACAAAGCAACAAATCCTCAACATGCTATTAATAAAGTTTACAGACTGAATTGTAGCACTTTCACCAAATCATACAGAGTAAGGACTTCAAAACTAAAATGCAAACTGAAAGATCGTCTGAAGGTACCTTTTTAGAAGGACCTTGGGCTGACATAAATTCATAGAACTTGCGCATCAACATTTCTTCTTCCACCTACATGAACAAAATACCACTTCATATCACTTTACATTGGTAGTTTAATGCCTACACAAATTTAACAATTTAACGCTGTAAATGTGACGCGATAGTAAACAACTGACAAATCCCAACTAACCTGAAAGAGAATAATAGAAACAAAAAAGATGATAACAAAAGAAAAATTAAGGGCTCAGAGGGTCACAGAAAGTTAGAGCAGAATATGAAACAAGGAAAAAAAGCAGCAATGTGCGTTAATTAAGATCCGTTGTATAACTGATTAATCCCTATCATCTGTGATTTATCACCTATGACACTTAATAAAAAAAAAGAGAGAAAGTAACAAACCAATAACAGTAAATGAGATAAATATACCTGGAGTTTATGCAATTCATCTGACATTGACTTATAGGCAACCGTTAAGAGCTCATTCTCCTTATCCAAATGCCTGCAAACATAAACATCATACAGTATATCAAATTATCCAGACAAATTAAGAAAATCCATAAAAATGCAGCCAACGAACACCAAGAAACTATTGTGCATCAGCCGCCATGTGTAAAGGCGTGAATGCCAGATAAAAGACAAAAAGCCTTTGGCAAGAAACTAACCTCAGCATTTCTCCTGTGTATTTAGGATCCATAATGTTGTGTAACTTTATCTGAAACGTAAGTTATTTCCCCAGGCTCAAAAGCAGATTCCACTTTGAAGATTCCTGTTTAAAATAAAACATTTAAGGAATTCTTTCAATTTGCATTCAAAGAAAGAAACCAAATTCCTCTAAAACCAGAAATAAAAACATCCGACTAAACAGCAAAATATAAGTGAACGAGAAATATGCAAATCATATTAAGCTATTTAGTTCAACTCCAGAAATAAATGAAACATTTAGACCTTCCACATCTAGGTTTAGGCAATACATCAATCGTGATTTGCCGTGGCCCACACATTCAATCATTATATTGTCTAAAGGATATACCACATTAGTTAAATCCACCATTCAAAACTAATGAACGAAAAGATATGCTCCATCAATGGAGCCAATGTATCAACTCTGTAAACATACGTAAGAACAGACCAAATTAAAATATCTCTCATTTGTATCGACAATGAAACAGCTTTAACTCCTGAACATTTACTGACAAAGGCCAAAATCTATCGACTACCCCTTAAGTATTCTAAATCACCAGAGATGAACACTGGAGAACACCCTGCAGTTTGGATTATACTTTAAATAAATCATTACCACAGCTCAGATTTGAGCTGTTACGTTTCGTCTACTTCTTAAGTCGACAATAAGGGGCAATAGACATCCTTCTGAAGAATCCATAATGCATGACAACTCTAACCAAAAGATTCACCCACACAAATATACGCCATTACATTTACCATCTTAACAGCAACCTCAGATGGTATTTTAATTATATATGTGTTTGAACCAAGAACAATACAAATAAATAGAGCCCTAAATATATAAAACCTATGCAAACCAAAACTTAAACAGGGCTTCGAAATTCCAAATATCATAAAATTAGCATAAGCAACGTTATTAATTTTAGAATTGACCCATTCTGTAAGAGTAGCCCTTTCCCATGTTTCCATTTTCATGAGAACAAAACACTATCAGTCAGCATATATCGCACTGTTGCTGCATAAATATATCCAAACTATATACACACAATAATCGAAGCTTTCAGGAAGAAACAGAAAATAACGAAATTAAACCATATCTTGCAACAAAAAATTTTAAAAAAAAAAACTTCAAAAAATAGGAAAAAACCGGGTATCTTTGATGGCGCCACTCAAGCACGAAGATTATTTGGAGTAGTTAGAAATGTGATGGATAGTGATTCAACAATCAAAAACCTGGGTTTTTCTCCCTTTTTTTTTTCGATTGGGCACTTTATAGCTTCGTCCGAAAAAAATTTGTCTTCTACGCTTGTTTTTTGGTGTGATAAAATTACCCTTGTCCGAACAAAGTATATCATCTCAACCAGTAGATCCTTTTTATAAAATGAAAATTCGAGAAAAGTTAAGGGTAAAAAAGTAACTTGAGTCGATATAAAGGAACCGTCATAAATAAATGACTCAAAATAAAAAAATAAAAAAAAGGAAAAGAAATAACAGAGAAGTTATATTGAAGCAGAGAGCAGTTTCCGTTATCCATTCACATCTCTTTCTCTCTCTCTCTCTCTCGATATTTTCGTGTACGCTTATTCGCCGGAGCCGGAGGATCAAAACTAGGGTTTTTGTCGCCGATTCAAATTCACCCGACTCGACTCCCCCAGCCCAACCCAGCCATGCATTCTGATTCCATCGCTACCAACTCTTCAAACATCATCCCCATGGCTTCCTCTAACGCCAAGGATTTCGCCAAGAAAAAGAGGGTGCGTGAATTGATTATTCCCTTCTTCTTTTCTTTTTTTTTTTGCCCCTATTTTTTTCCTTTCACTCGCTTATACGAGGATTTTTCTGTTTCTTGCATTCATCGAATGGAGTGAATTTGTTGCATTCATTTTTTGTTTGGTTTCCATAGGTTTTGAAATGTTGTAGTTGAGCGAATTTTTTTGGCCGGATGCTTATTCTGTTTGTTGTAGGGTTTCAATATGTCTCTTTTACATTTCCTCTATTATCTCCATGATCATTTCATAGGGTTTTTATTTATTCCCGATTGGTTTTTGTGTGAAACTGTTTTCTTTAATTGTGAATGATTTATTTTGTGATGATGGATAATATTTAGGTGAACCGTTCTGCTAAGTTGAAGCAGTGCAAGCTGGATGCCCGCCGGGAACAGTGGCTTTCTAAAGGTATGTAAAGTTTTTTTTGCTTTTCCACTGCACACATGTTCTGTGGGTTAGTTATGCATCGTCCAGTGTCTCTATCTTGTTTGCTAAAACCTTATTGTGCATATTCAAATAAAGTTAGTCCTTACTGCTTGTTTTTAAGTTGTCATCTGTGTTCATTTGTTTTGTAGTGAATAAATGTAGCAGCGAGAAAGAGGATTCAAATGGTGTAAGAGTTCTTGGCCCATTGAGCAAGGCAGGAAACGTGCAGGGCCGGGCAATGGAGAAGCTGGAGATAAGGCCCAGGGGAGAAGAAGAAAATCATGGTTTGCACATTCACCATTACAGTGACTCTGAGTCACCCTCAAACAGCCCCATGAGCCATAATGGTAGCATCTTGGGGGGCAATGATTCGGGAACCACTTTTACTGGAAGTAGCAGGAGCAGCGTCAGCAGTAGCAGGAGCAGTAGTAGCAGTAGGAGTGGTGGAAGTTGTTCCGGTAGCATGAGTGAGGAGGATGAAGAAGGTGATGACGAGTGCTTAGATGATTGGGAGACAGTGGCTGATGCTTTGGCTGCTACTGAAGAGAAACACAAACCGGATGATCATAGTTTGGATACAGATACAGCATCTGAGAGTAAGGATGTTGCACATGGGGATTCACACCCTGATGATGCAACAGGGGCAGCTCCTGATGATGATTTGAAAGCTAAGCCAGAGAATGGAATTTCACTTGACAGGTCTACAGTGAAATGCCGGGCATGGAGGCCTGATGATGTTTTTAGACCTCAGAGTTTGCCCAATTTATCGAAGCAATATAGTTTTCCAATGAATCCAGAGAGATACTTTGGCTGTGGTGGCTCTGTTTGGGGCTGCAAGAATGTTAGACCAGCTCCAACATCTTGCCCTATCTGCTATGAGGATTTGGACTACACTGACTCAAGTTTCATTCCTTGTTCATGTGGTTTCAAACTCTGCCTTTTCTGCCACAAGAGGATTCTTGAGGAGGATGGGCGTTGTCCTGGCTGTCGCCAGCAGTATAAGAATGAGTCTGGAAAGGTGGAGACTTTGCTGGATGGCAACAGCTTGGCGTTTCGTTTGGCGCGTTCCTGTAGCATGGTCACAAGATCATAGGAAAAGTTCACCCCTGTTCAAATACATGTCGGTTCTGTGTTCCACCTGCGGTTGACGTTTGTCATTCTAATTTGAGACTCTGATTTCCGTAGTCTTAGATGTTGGTATAGGAGTGATTTTGAAGCACAGGAGTATGAATATGGTATTATGGTTTTGGTCCATATCTGTATGATGCTTGTGCTAATTTAGAAGGCTCGTGTGAATACATAAAATGTGGTATAGAAAATGAACATATTATATCAGGTTCAAGTATAGTTGTTCTGTTCAATTTGCTTGTCCTGCCTTTTGGTTGTTACCTTTAATAAACTCATTAAATATCCAGAATATGATGTTTTCCAGTTATATTATTATAGCGTCTTCATTTAACTGATCTACTATGATTTTGAATGGATTCTTTTTCCTTGTAATGAGTCACAATTGGTATCATGTCATACTAGTGTTTTGGTGTTGCGAGAGGATGACTCTGAAGCTTGTTATGTGCTTAAGTTTTCTTCGATGCATGCTATGATTTTGAATGATAATGCTGTGAGCACTTCCTTGGAGGCAGCTGTACCGAAGACGGTATGCTTGGAAGATGCTTGCTTTCTGTTTTTTAGGTAAAAGGGATGAGAAAACGGGTCGGTGATTCGCTTAATATGAATTCATCTCATGTAAACTTGATCCGTGATGTTGTATCTTCCCCATGTGCTCTCATATTTAAGCCGTTTTGTCTGAAAGAAAATGTTCATGTATCATGTTATAGTTATGGACGGCCTTTTCCGAAAACTGTATTAGATATCAGAAGTTTGATGTGATTGAGCATGCTGCTGTATAAAATTCTCACGTCCTTCTGCTCAGGTTCATTTAAAAAGATTGTGATGAACTTCTGGTGCGGGTAAAATGGAAAGTTATCTATCTGAGGACTTTATCCGTTTTAAAAGACTATTATTATTTCAGAGATAGGTATAGTCACAATGTTTTCATCTCCAGAAAAGTGTGGGGATTATACTTTTTATGCCTGGTAAGAAGGTGACAAGTACAGTTAAGTTGAATATTACTTGACATTTGGCTTGGCAATACCTGTATGAGGGTATAAGTCGGCTACCTACATTCAGGAAGATGATTAGGCAGTTACCAAGTTGCTGATCAGTGATCACATAAGATGATTAGGCAGTTACCAAGTTGCTGATCAGTGATCACATAGGTCTTGCCTGTGGCCTTGTATTGCTGCAAGTGGATGACATTGTTAATACCATGTTGTTGTACCACAATGCTGTGAATTCTGGTTTCCCTTCAGTTAAGGGTGTCAATATATCATGAGTTATAGTTGTGCAATTATACTCTACTTGAACTCTGAAATCACATTTACTAGTAGAGCCCAGGGAGAATTAACGAAGAAGTGATCGAGCAGAATAAAAATTTTCTTCTCCTTTTTTCTTTACAACAGATTTTGTTTTATGCTTTTGCCTTAGATTAAGATTTAATTGGGAGGCTGTCGTACATTATAGTTTCTGGTTATCTTTTCTGGTGGTTGGAAACAAAACTACCAATCAACTTAGTTCTTACCCTTGCTTAATTTACATTTCGAATCTCTGCTTTTTTATTTTGGTTTTCTTGGTTTGATTAGTGTACGCCTCTTTCCTCCCCTAGAGCAGATACTGTTGTGAGTTTTCCTTCTGGTAGAGGTAATGTTTTGCTGGAATTTGACTCCTGTGGGCACATTGATTCTCTTCTTTTCACAGAATAAGCAGTGATGTTTTGTATTTTCTGATTTTTGTTTGTGCTCTCCGCTCTATATCAAGGTGCGTGTTACAAATGTTTTTCCGGCATATTGCACTTCTGCATCTGCATGTTAATTCTTCCCATGCTTCAAGATTGAAGTTTTGACTATTTTCTGTAAAAGATAAGCTTATTCCATCAGAGATTATCCTCATATGAATATGTTGGTTAGAGTGTTTCAATTTGTTACTAATAGTAAGTTAGTTCTTTATGTCAAATTTTTTTGAAAAGAGTTCCTTGAAATCATCTGAAATATATCCCATCTATTTATCAAGATGCAATGGTCATTGCTACTGCAGTGCTTCCTTGCAAGATCTTCCATGCATGAATACACATAGGAGTACAACCTAGGGAAAGTTGAGTGTTCAAGGAGACACTTGATCAACCTTTTAATTCTGTCAACACAAGTTAAGGCAGCCAGTATTTTGTACCATGTCAATTTTGTCTAGCATGTACGTCTCCCCCTTCCTCATTTACTTGCTAAGTGATACAGTTTCATTCATTTTGTGTGAACTCATCACGACACCTTGGCTTGATGTACATTCGGTCTCTTTGATTTGACTTGTTACATCAATTTCGGGCTTCTTAGCTTGAGTTACGAACATGGAATATTTTATATACCTAAAGAAAAAGGTCGGAATTTCAGTAATCTGTATTATCTCCTTTCCCAGAAATGTTGATGCTTTTAAAGGGAGATGGTACCATGGCTTTTCTGCTGCTTGAGTATTCCAATCATATGGATACCATAATCGCAACAATTTACTTGCAACACATGTTATAAGTGCTACCTGTTTGTTCAAGTGCATTTCTGCCTGTTAGTGGTTGACCCTGCAGTTTGTGTTCTTCTGGGTTTTTGTCGTAAACCATTCGCATGTCTGACGCTACTGCTATGTTCTCAGCCCAACATTCAGACATATAATACAGTGTAGGAATTATCATTTTTCTTTTTCATTTTTGCATCTCCGTTAAAAGTACAGGTTCTGCTGTCAGTAATGAATCTTCATGTTCCCAAAAACAAAATCCCATGTTCAGTATTTTCATATGAAAGTTTTAACCGGGGCTCTGAGAGGATCATAAAATTGCTTAAATAAGGCAAAGTATTGTTAACTTTGGACACGAATTGATGCCAATTCCATAGAGATAATTTTCTCTTTTGATGTCGCTCCCAAAATGTAGACTGATCTCACTTCTGAGTGCAATTTGACTTGCAGAAATCTACCCTTGTCACTTAAGCGTTCGATTGTAGAACGACTAATTTCAATTTGACAGATCCTCTCACATCAAATGAGAAAGTTAGATTACATTCATTAAACTATTAAAGCTGCTTTCTACGATATCGTTCTCAGCGTCAAGGGTGAACAGGGTTATTTCCCGCTAATTCCCTCCACTCTTACACAAGGTAGGATGCTTAGTTGCCCACTTGGGCTAAGGATCTAATCAGTGTAAAACATTCGATTTGAAACGGATCTCATACATAGTCGGATTTTGGGTTGGCAAGATACTCCCAACCTGTTAAGCTTAATTACACCAAGATGTGTATTACCTGTAACACTGGGAGATCACTAGATCCCAAGGGTTGATTGATATAATGGTAGTTAAAAAGTACTTAAATACTAATAAGTCATGTAGACAGCAATACAAGACTCAGAAAGATGTTTTGCAGGGAGATTTTTCCACCATTTAGCAAAGGTTGATTCTTCCAAAAACACATCTTTGCTCAGATCCCCATTGCTTGTCCATTTCAAAGTTTGTTTCTCCAAAGAAACAAGTCTCTCCTTCATATCCTCAATTGGCAATGCTTTAAGTTCCTCCACCTCAGCCCAGAAACATGATTCTGAGATAGAATTTGGGGGAATTCTCTCAGCATGTTCTAGCCATCTTTGGGTGAATCTGTAGCGTTTCGGCCTTCCTCTCATCATGTAAGGACCCGTGTCTTCATGCTTCAAGTGCCTATAGTAGTTAGCAATATCCAGAGGCTCAACAAGCCTCCTAAACCGGGTTCCAAGTTCTATCCACTCTTTCCGACCTTCGAAGCTATCTGGGAGTTCACATCTTTGTAGCATTTCGATGGTTTCATCCCATATTCCAGCTAGTTCCAGCCTCTTGACATTTGCATTGAAATCATTTACATCTTTCTGAAGCTTGAAAGCATCATAGTAACCGACTTTTCGCACTTCGCATTTCATCTGATATGCCTGTATCTCATTTAGCCCTTTTCTTATGATATCCTTGTTACCATCAATATTGACTTGGTTTTTCATTTTCTGTCTCTCTAACTCGCCGGCTGCACGAAGACTGAGTCTTGCTCTTGAGCCCTACAATTTGAAGAGCAGTGGAAAATTAGTCGAAAATCATTAATGTCTAATTGCATACAGAAATTTGAATAAATGTGTTGAGGGTACAAAACTAGTTACCAGTCCAAACTCATTGAGGATAGCATTCAAAGTCAGGGCTTCATTGCTTGTGCAAGCATTTGAGGATAAAGGAAGGTCCACAAGATTGCTCAAACAGACAACATGTTGCATTTCTAAGCAATCCTGCAAACAATTTTCATATGCCAAACTCTCAGTTAAGCTTCTACGTACAATGTCAGCCATTTCTGTTTCAGAGCTCAGCTGAGCTGAGTAGAACAACATTTGCAGGACAGCATCTGGATTTTGAACCACCAACAACTGTCCATTTTGAGAACCAAAGACATAAGTCCCAAAAGGTCTATATGGACTAAGTTCGACAAAACTTGATACAGTTTCGAGCAACAAATTTGTGCATCCCATGAGGTGACAAGCAGCATGGCTAGCCACAGCTGATGCATTCCTCATGACAGTCATGAAGAAAGATGTAGGATTACTGGACAAATCGATAGATCCTGAGTGAACTTGTGGAGATTTTGGGCACAGGTGAGGGAGGATCTGTTGAAAGTCTCGTTCAATCAATGAGACAGGAGCAAGCAGAACTCGTGGTATGATGTCATACCTTGTGACAAAATGTATGAAGTATTGATCCCAGTTTTCCCGTCTAAGCGCATGTGAAAAAATTCTGTCACCAGCTAGAGGGGCTCCAAAAGTGACACAGAAAGGCGGTGCTAGGTTACTTTTCTGTATCATGCCCTTTTCAAGAACCCACAGAGCTGCTAACATGGCAATTGGACCTCCTGATGAGTGTCCTGTAAAAACTACTTTCTTTCTCTCCATGGTAGCTTTTTCCACCTAATGATTCAATGGTAAAGAGCTTAAAGTTACAACATCTTAGCGCATATAAGCAGTTCAATTCAGGAACAAGGTCATAATTGAAAAACGTGTAGGTATCAATGTCATGACAGATAGTAGTTAATTTGTATTTTGAGTTTAGGAACAGAGTCTTTCTAGTAATCTTCTTGCAAGAATTCCCTGACACATGGGAGATAATCTCTTCTTCTGTCACAGAAACACATTAAAAGACACAATTATTCCGAATGCTAGAGACATTTCTAATTTTATATATCAGCTCAATATATGTGCAATATTACCAGTTTTCCTGTCATTCACTCTGCCAGCCTGCCAACTCCCCTAGAGATCAACTACTTCCCTCGGGTGCAATTTGAACTATCGATTTATGTAAATTCAACTTCTCTTTTGCCCCATTAAAGAAGAGTAGTAATTCAGGGATCGCCAATTCTAACGCCTAACTAGTTACAGTTCATGAAATTGTAATAAGACTTAAACAACATTATCCTCAAGTAACTTCATTAAACCAGAAGTCCTCTCTAGCACAACCACCTGAGACAGAACATTTTTTTCTTCCCCAAAATAGTCAAATATACTAATACAGGAATAAAAGGGGAAAGATAGATTTTTGTCCCACAAATAATCTAGGCAACGAGTATAGTGATCGAACAATCCAAAACTTTTAGTATAAATTACCTCTCTTTCCAACTGAGATATGCCTAAAAGTTGTTCAAATCTGCAAGAAAAGGCTTCATTTACAGCAGCTGGTTCATCCATGCCAATGCTTTTGAGAGATGGAAACAAAGAAGCATTAACCTTGGTTTCACCAAAAGGCTTTCCTGAAGAAAACCAATCACCCACAGACCATGTTCCAGGAAAGGCAAAAATGGCTTCTTTGGACCCACGGCTCCTTTCACAAAGATACGGCTTCTGATCAGCAGCAGATTTGATGAGGCTATGATGAGCTTTCATGGCCAGATTACAGGCTTTCTTGATAACCTCCTCATCAAGTCCTACACACTCTCCCAGCCTCCCTCCGACCATCTTTTTTTTTTTCTTTTTTCTCTGGGTTCTGTGTTTTCTCTTGATTCTTGGGAAGATTAGCTTAGCTTAGTCTTCTTTGTCCATGATGATTGATAAGAAAATTTGGGATGTTCCATTGACTTGGGATTCTTGCTGGAGAAATGAGCTAGGAAATAGTACTAGCAAAAGGATATTCATGGAGGACTTTTGGAATTTTATTTTTGACTTATTGACTCATACTGTAGTCAACGTGGCCCGGCGGCTATAGCCCTGCTTATTTGGCCATCTATGGCACAAATCAATCTAACCACATGCTAATTGGTGTCACCGTAATTTTAAGATCAAAAGTGTAACAATCAAATCTTTATTTGTTTGCATATTTCATAGGAAAGCAATGCATACAAACATTGCAAGCTATCATTAGTTACAGAGACATACAAAAGGATTGAATGTAATTGGAATATCCAAAAAGGGCCAACGCCAAGTGAGATTACAACCAAAAAAAGAAACTAAATGGTAATTATAGAGGCTTTCCCACTGTTCTTTCTGCAGCTGCCTAATTTCAATTCTTTCAACAAATGTCACGAAGTACCCATCTCTCCCGGTAAGCTATATATCGTTATTATATACACGAGCAAATCCAAAATGCCACAAAAATGATCTGCTCTGCTGTGAAACCTGCAGAGTCTAGCAACACAAAATTAACATTCATTAACATTTTCTCGCAATCTTGAACGCTTTGAAAGTGATGGAAGCACTCCTAAGACTGGCTTTGGTGGTGCAGGAAGGTCAGAAGTAAAGGAACATTGTGATGCTGAAGGATGGGTGAGCGAGAGTGATGTTTCATCAGATAGTTTTCTTTTGAGGTTTAGTCCCCTGCTCTCACTTTCCCCTTCTCCTCTCAAAACAAAATCCCTAATTCGCTTCACATCTGACAGTTTGACAGGCTTCATTAGGAACTCTTCTGCTCCTTCCTCCAAGCACCTATAAATTTAGATGTTGAAAACCATGTTCAATTTAGTTATAGCCAAAAAATTTTTACATTAGCACTCATGCTTAGCAAAACAGACAACTCGTAAGGGAAAGAGTTAAATGGCAATGAAGCCAATATCTCTTCATCAAACAAGGTTGAATATAAATGAACATTCTATTAGCTAAATCAACTTATATGTAGCTTGTAGAATCAAATAGCACTTCCTTCTCATCAACTCAATCTGCTCAATGAGGTTTAAATCAATGGGAGACCAATGAAAAGAGTAATAAATGAAAACGAGCATGGAATATGAGCAAGTGATACAGTGAAAAGGACCATCTTCCCATTCATAAAAGGAACATTATAGCTCGGACAGTTACAACCTAAATAATCCAGGCATCTTCCCATTCATAAATGTTTTAGATATTACCCGATTAAACTCGAGCCCGACAAAAAGGTAACCCGAGATCATCTTCTAAAAGAAAAAACCTTTAGTTCGACAAGTACTTCTTAGCCATATCCCAATATTCATGAGCTACACCCCTCCATTAGGGTGGCCAGTCTTTTTGGCCCTCATTAAAATGTACGCAAAAGCAAAATCAACAAAAGACAGTAGCAGATAATCAGAACTTACCGGTCGATTCGAGTAAGAATATTCTCTGATGACATGATGACCACAGGAATTTCCTTCAATTCTGATGAACCCTGTACAATGATAAAATGAAGAGGAATCAAACACAAATCCTAACGCAAATGAGAATATAAACTGGTACAAATTTCAAAGAGTACTTTCTGAAGTTCAATAGTAAAAGACATTGGTGTCTCATCAAAGATACCCAATGATCACCAACTCAAACAAAGAGGCATCTTCTATCCAAGAAGTAACCATCACCATACAAAACCTTTATCACTAATTGACAGGAAATTCTGGCTACTTTACCAATTTATCAGCAACTATAGAGTAAAGAATATAAATATGACTTCATCCTTTTTCTTTTATTAAATGAGTGAAAGGAAGTTCATGCTACTTTACCAATTTATCAGCAACTATAGAGTAAAGGATATAGATATGAGGCTTGCACAATTGCTTACCTTGATCTTCTTAAGCAGCTCATACCCAGTCATCCCAGGCATGGAATAGTCCGACAAAATCAAATTCACCTTTAGAGCCTAAAATCAAAACACAAAAAAAAAAAAAAAAAAATTGTTAATGCCAAGAGAAGTTCAAAAACCAAAGACCCTAATAAAGAAAACTGTTTCCATAAATCTTACATCAAAATCGACTGGGTTATGCTCTCCTTCCAACCCCAAATACTCTAGAGCCATTTTCCCACTCTCCACAGCCGTTACTGCACCAAATAATATGCACATCAAAATCAAAATCAGTAATCTCAAGACAAATTTTATTGCAATCTTTTGAAGAGATACAAGAAAACACAAAAAAAAAAAAAAAAATCCCACCTTTACAAGCAGATATCTTGAGCAACCTCTCAATAACCTTCCTGTCTACATAACTATCATCCACAGCAAGAACGTGCAATTCCTGCAACCCACTTGATGAAGGCAGAGGCAGAACCTCCATTGATGTTTTTCTTTTTTTTTTTCCTTTGGGAACGCGTAAAATGTTTGAAAAAAGTTCTCAACAAGAACCAAAAATGTCACGAAAGCTGGCAGTATGAGGAGGGAGATTATATGGGATTTTAGGCAGAGAAAGAGGGAATGGTGGAGATTTGGGGGGCAAGTCCGAGATATACTTTTAGGGAAGCTGAAACTGCCTGAAAGATATGAAAGTAGAAAAGATACGCGAGATCTTTTCAAATCTCCATAGGCCAATATCTTGTAAACATGTCCTTTACCTTTGTGTCCATTACACTATTACAAAATCATATTTCCCTCTTTTTTCGTGCTCTAAAAATGGACAAAAAATAGTGACGGTGACTATTGGAAAGGAAAAAATATTGGATTTGTTAAAATTCTAGTGAAAGTTACCTCTCAATATTACTTCCCCCGCTCATTTATTTAAGCACTTTAATTTGTTCTAAATTTAACCTAAATATATTTTTAATAAAAAAACTTTAAAAATATATTTTTACTTTCGTTGTGTTCCCTTTTTTTTTTCCAAAAAGTTTTGTTGCGTTTTCTTGATTGTTAAGAAATATTATTAAAGTTTTTTTGTCAATTAAAAATACATATTAAGTGAAACTTAGGTCAAATAAAAATACTTTATATTAAGGACCGGAGGGAGTACTCCTTAATATAAGGCATTTTGATTTGTCTTACCTTTCACCTATTATGTATTTTTAATCGGAAAAAATCTTTAAAATATATTTTTATATTAATTGTGCTCTCTTGATAGTTAGAAAATATTTTTAAAAATTTTTTAGTCAATTAAAAATGCATACTAGGTAAAAATTAAGACAAATCAAAATATCTTATATTAAGGACGGGAGGGAGAACTATTTTACTTTACATATTGTGTTTTACATAATCCTATTTGGTACTGCACATTATGGCTGCTAATAAATTCAGAGCCATTTTTCTCTAGATTCAAGACTATTTTTTTAAAAGCCCTATTTTATACTTGATTAATGTGATAATGGTTAAATTGTTACATAAAAGCATCACACTTAACTTTGTATTTAATGAACAATTGGGGATATTTCCTAATATTAATGCAAATTACTTAGCTCATTTTTATGTTATTGTTAGGAAAGGACCGGACTGAATAATTGCTGAAAATTGGAAGCCAAAGAAGCAATTTAAGGGCTGCTAAGGCAAAATTGCTGAGCTGGACGAAGAAGAAGGCCCTTAGACAAGAAGCATCTTGTCATTAATGACCTTGCCTCCTCCTAGAGGCATGCTTGTCCCCCAGCCGCAATCTCAGCCACCACTGCTGATCAATGAGAGCACAACGGCCACGGCTGGAAGAGAGAAAAGGAACGGCCAAGTTGGATTGCAGGCTCAAGACATTGGAAGGATTAAACAACTCCAAGCATGGGGAGGTTCTCATGATGAAGACACCGGTTGCAAGGCACTATAAAGGAGGGAACGGCACTCTCACATAAGGGATCCATCTCTCAACCTCTGGTTACCCCTTCAGTTACTAAAAACACTCAGAAAAACTCCAGGTAGAAGGCAAGAAAGAAGAAGAAGCATCAACAACTCAGTGAGGAACCCAAGTTGAAGAATAGCAACCCAGTTTCTTCTTCAGTTCCACGAGTGAACCCCTTCACTCCCAGGAGTGACTCTGAAACTGCACAAGTTTTCTCCTCATCTCTTGACTGTTATCTTAAATTTTGTTGCTATGCATACTTCTATGATGTCTTTCGATGTAGTAGATGTAGCATTAATCTGTATGAGTAGCTAAACAGTTCCCATGGGTTATTCTCCTCAACTGATGTTGTAGTTGTCAAAGCACTGGTTTTGTTCCTTGTTTTATGGTTGAAAGTTTTTCTACATTCATTTACTTGATCACTAAACTGAATGCATGCTAGAACTAAGGGAGATCTGGAAGGATAAACTTGGTTTGGATTGTTTCAACTTTAACTTATGACATAGAGGTAACAGTCTATGGTTTTAACTAAGATAGGAATATACTTAGTTAACATAAGCATTCTTGAAGGCCTAAGAACTTAATGACTTTGTAGCTGGAATCAATCATTGGAAAATAGGTTGTTAAGGTTGCAAAGATGACTCTAGGAAAAATGGGAACTGACTTAGAGTTATAAGAGAGCTGAATGAACAAGAACTCAACCATTACAGTGCTAATAAAACAACTACAACAGCAGGAAGAGGAGAAGAACACCCCTGGCTTCCATTCCCCTGAGTGCCTGTTTTCATTCTCCTGAGTGACATCTTGTTGACTGACAGTTTTTCCTTACAACAAATTTGGTAATTAGCTGTCCTCGTGGGATCGACCTAGCTTCCATTATCTACAAAATTCATAATCCAAGTTAGTAATATTTATCTTTATTTTTTGGTGAACTCGGCAAGCACCATAATGTTACCTGCTTTTTTTTTTTAAAAAAAAAAAGAAAAAATGTTGAGACGACTTTCGAGTTCCAACTGACCCAAAAAAGTTCAAGGGGTATACATAAGAGGTAAATTTTTTAGTCACCCAATGCTAGATAGTACCATGCACCCAAGGGATATACCCAAGGGATCAACATAAATACTACCTAGTTCTCTAGTTTCGCCGCTCCCATAATTTTATTGCACTTAAATAGAAAGGTGTTAAAGGCAGAATATATTCTAACCCTAAGCAAGTACAATAAATTGTCTCCTTACACTCATCTACGTACATAAAGAAAGGACTTTCGATCTAAAATCAATAGCCCTTTTACATAGGATGGTAATACAGAGAAGGAATTAAAAATGACCGAGTCCCCTCCAGAAGCAGCCTTAGCCAAAGCATCTACCTCCGAATTTCCTTCTCTATATATATGAGTTATAGAGTACCCATTGCAATCTATAATAGAATGCATCTCTTTCAATTCTCAGTAAAACCTCCAAGGGAAAGTCACATGACTTGTAATGATCTCCACTAGCAACTTTCTATCAGTCTGAACCACCACATTCGGCAATGGAAGAAACTCACATTTTCGCAACCCATAAAGGATGCTACAAACCTCCGCTAAAAAGCTATTTCCTTCACACAAAAAAACCACATTCACCATACAAAAAGAGGCCACCTTCCCCTCAAATCACAAACCCATAACCTGCATCACCTATAGATGAGCAATCCGAGTTGAGGATATAAGAGTTAGGACCTGGAGGAGTCCATCTCACAACTTGACATTTCCTATGCACAAATCGAGATAAAGACACCCCAAAAGCCTCAGCTACAAAACTTTTCTCAGCTTCACTTTGCACTTTGAGATCACGTACCAATAACAAGTCGCGAATACTTGATGAAATGGAATGAATTACATAATGCAAAGATGCCTGCGTACGTTCGTAAAGCATTTTATTCCTTGCCTTCCAGAGTTCTCAAAGAATAAAAGAAGGGAGCAACATAATAGCTGCTTTTCTTGTTGTGATGTAGCTTCTTTTCGACCACTACTTATGAAGTAAATGCTGTAAGCTTACATGACCATTAACATTAAGACTCAGTAGAGATATGTGACCAAATGGAGGCCGCAAAATCGTAGCCATAAAAGCAGTGTATCAACCCATCTGGATGCTTACAACAAAAGAGACATATGGATGGCATTGTAACAACTCCAATGACAAACAATTTCTGGAAATGGCAGCAAGCCATTCCTTAACTTCCACAAGAAAAAGGAAACCCTAGAAGGCACCAACTTGTGCCACACTTTATTCAACTATAAATCCACATTTTGACATCGACGTAAGGCTTCATGCGCCGACTTGACAAGAAAAATGCCCAGCGTATTATGCTTCCATACTAGAATATCAGCATCATTAGAGGGATTAAAATCAAAATCAGTAAGAAAAACCTGAATTACCGGTGAAATGATATCTTGCATTTCAAATAGATATTCCCCCCTATTTCCAAAAAATTATCGAATGGTGAGAACTGGCAAAAGTGGCTGCCCTAAACATTGATCACTCAATATACCATGACTTGACCAAGCATCAAACCAAAAGGATCGATCACCCCCTCGCAAGATGACCTTTGTGTGTGATGCCAACTTGCTATCAAGTTTCATAACCCTAGACCATGAGGTCTTCTCCTTTGAAGATTTTGATAAAGAGAGCAAAAATTTGCTCCAAATTCCTTTTCGATGCTTTGACTTCCACCAAGGTTTAGCAGTTAGAGCCTCAATAATATTATTGAAACTCCTAAACCCTAATCCATTTTTAGCAACGGGGAAAGTCAGCCGGTTCCAAGAGCGCCAATGACGTTTCCTTTCTTCATGAGTCCCACTCCAAAAAAAATTTTGGCAATACTTTTCCATCTCATTTACAACTGACCGCCGGGGGAGGGGAGGGAATTGCTGAGAAAACATGTATTAGAATAGAAGACAACACCTTCTTGATTAACATCAAACGACCACCAGGAGACAACATTTTGTTCTTCCAATTCAATAGCCTCGTATCAGTAGCATCCAACAAAAATTGGAAAATAGAGGCCTTCTTCCTTCCACTAAATAATGTGCAGCCCAAATAAACAAAAGGAAAAGACCCTTTATCCATACCCAAAGTTCATTTAATCAACTCAGCCCTTCTCGGAGCACTCCGAAACCACAAAAAAACTTTTTTGATGACTAACCTTTTGGCCTAATGCTACTTCATATTGATCAAAGAAAGTATTTATCTCACCTAGCGACTTACTCAAGCCTCTTTTAAAGATGATTAAGTCGTCTGCAAAACATAGGTGAGAGACCACAAATGATCTCACTGTTGTTCCATACGAAGCAATCTTCCCTTCATTCACCAAAGCATTAAGCCTCCTCGTCAAGGCTTCTGAAACTAGAATTAACAAATAAGGTGATAAAGGATTGCCTTGCTTAATGCCTCTTGAAGCCTGAAAAAAAACACAGAGCTGCCATTAACCATAACAAAAAACCAGCTATTGTGTAAATTATTCAAAATCAACTCCACAAAATGAGAAGGGAA